CCCCCCCATCTGGCCATAACCACTCCTGCATTCCCCCTTCCCCAGACTCTAGATTTGAGCCTATCATGCACTGGAACTCCCTGCCCTCAGCCCCTCACATACCCCAACCCAAATTCTTGCATCCTCACATCCACAAGCCCGTGGCTTGCTCAGTACCCTAACCCTACATCTGACCCCAACACTGCCCGGCCTGGAGCCCCCTTCCTGAGCCAGTGTCCCCTTCTCCACCTCCTCCTGCATCCAGATTTCCTCCCAGAGCTTGCACCTCTCATCCCTTCCCACACCCAAATCCCTCATTCCTACCCCAGAGCCTACACATCCTGTCTCAACCCAGCAGGGGTCCGGCTAGACTGCAGGAGTTTTTCAGGATTCTGGAGATATCCCAGAAAAACTCTTCCGCATCCAGGGATGGGTTTGTTCTTCTGCTTTTTTTTAGTGGAAGAGGAAACATGATCTTTCAGTCACCCCTATATTCTTCTTTCCATGAAGAAGAAGGGGGCGTCCAAAAGAAGGGTTTTTTCTGACATTTGGTCCAGTCTAGACAGGCCAAATGTTGGAAAAACTTCTCCCTACAGAAGAATTAAAAAAAAAAGCAGCAGTATAAGGATTGGGGATAGCAAGTGATGGAGAGGAGAAGAATAGAGAGGGCGGGGCTTCAAGGAAGGGGCAGGGCTTCAAGAAAGGGGTGGGTGGTAGATCTTAACTTGGTCTGTCATTTAAAAAGTGATCTTGGGTTGGAGACCACTGCCTTAGAATAACCCTACCTTCTTAAAGATGGTGTAGAGAGGTGATGACATTAGCGCCGAAATCTCACTCGCTCTGCGCACTGAAGTGATGGAGATGAGGAAGACCAGCTTTATGGTGCGTGTCTGAAAAGGTATGGTGGATAGAGGTGCAAAAGGTGGTGGTGTTAGAGTTGAAAGTACCAAGTCCAGGTTCCACAATGGGGTGGGAACTCGCAAAGGAGGGGTTAGGTTTAAAAGGCCGTTGAGAAACCTCCTGGTGAGGCGGTGGGTGAATAGCGAAAACCCCTCTATTGGCTGTTGGAATGCAGTCAGTGCTGCAAGATGGACTCTTAGAAATGATAAGGCTAGTCCGCTCTGTTGCAGATCCATCATATCATCCAGAATGATGGAAATCGGAACCAGTTGAGGGTCCATGCTATGTTCGGAGCACCCGGAAGTAAATCATCACCATTTGGAAAGGTAAGTAATGCGTGTATTTTGTTTCCTACTGTGTATGAGAACGTCCTTAACACGGTCAGAGCATAGGGCTTCGGAGGCATTCAGCCAACTAGGTACCAGATTGAGAGGTGAAGAGTGCGCAATTGTGGGTAAAGGAGAGAGCCTTGTTTCTGGGTCAGGAGGTTCTGGATTAACAGAAAGTGATATGGTGGATATTGTGCGAGTCGCATGAAGAGTGGATACCAATGCTGACGAGGCCACTCTGATGCTATCAGGATTACCGAGGCTTTGTCAAGCTTGATCTTCTGTAGGACCCTGAAGATAAAAGGGATAGGCAGAAAAGCGTACATGAAGGGACCCTTCTAATTGAGGAGAAAGACGTCCCCCAAGGAATGGCGACCTAGGCCCACTCTGGAACAGAAACGGTGGCATTTTCTGTTGCTGGTGGTGGCAAATAGGTCTATTCGAGGAGTACCCCAACAGCGAAAAAATGGAATGGAGGACATCTCGATCTATATCCCATTTGTGGTCTATTGCGAAATTCTTGCTGAGGGAATCGGCCATCATGTTGCTGATGCCACGTAAGTAGGATGCCACAAGGATAGTGCTGTTGGCAATTCACCAGTTCCATAGTGGGTTGCTTCCGTACACAGCGATTAGGATTGTGCGCCTCCCTGGTGGTTTATATAATACATGGTCGCTATGTTGTCTGTGAGGACGCCCACTGTGGAGATGTGGAGGTGTGTGTGAAAATGTCTGCAGGAGTTGGCAACGGCCCTCAACTCGAGGAGATTTATTTGTAACAGAGACTCCTGTGGTGACGAACGGCCTTGGACGGATAGGGTGCCCATGTGAGCTCCCCAGCCAATGAGAGAGGCATCTGTGGTCATATGACAACAAGGGGACGGGTGATGAAATGAAGTGCCCGAAAGCAAATTGTTGTCTATCGTTCACCAGTGGAGGAAGACCTGACCGTGGACGGGACAGTTACCTACTTGCATACGTTGAGCCTGATGGGATCGTATATTGTGATCAGCCAGTGCTGTAATGGCCAAAAGTGTAGCAGCCTGGCATGGGGAATGATGTATGTCGTGGAGGCCATATGACCCATTAGTTTGAGTACTGTAATAACTTGTACTGAGCATTTGTAGAGAAGTTCATCTAATAGGTCTTGCATTGCCCGAAACCTGGTGATGGGTAGATATGCCCTTGCTATAACTGAGTCGAGGCAAGCGTCTTAAATTCTAGGTTCTGAGTAGGGATCAAGGGGGATTTGTCCTCGTTGAGAAGGAGACCTAGGAAAAGGAAAGTTTGATAGCGGTTCGCACCATCTCTGAAGTTTCTATGGACGAACATCCCTTTATTAGACAATCGTCCAGGTAGGGATATGTGACGATGCCAGTGCGTCGAAGGAGAGCAGCAATGATTGCGAATGTCTTTGTGAAGACTCTTGGTGTTGTTGCGAGTCCGAAGGGCAGCACTCGATACTGGAAGTGGTCTGTACCAACCAGGAAGTGTAGAAATTTTCTATGAGTGGGATGAACTGTCACATGAAAATAGGCATCTTTTAGGTCGATAGCAGCAAATCAATCACCCTGCTCCAGGGCTGGTAGAACGGAGGTTAAGGTCACCATCTTGAAGTGTTGTTTTGGATATATTTGACTCGCTGTCGAAGGTCTAGTATAGGTCTCCATCTGCTGATTTTTTTCTGTACCAGGAAATAACGGGAGTAGAATCCTCTCCCTTGGAACTGAGATGGAACTTTCTCTATTGTTCCTATGTGGAGGAGATGAGAAATCTCGGCTCGTAATAGATCTTTGTTAGAGGGGTCCCTGAAGAGGGACGGGGATGGTGGGGTTGTGGGCAGGAGAGAATGGAATGGAATGACATAACCTGAGCGGATGATTTCTAAAACCCATCTGTCGGAAGTGATGTTGGTCCATTGGATGTAGAAGGGCATTAAACGATGGTGAAGATGTGACCGAGGCTCTGAGGGGCTGTGTGCTTGCTCTTGACCAACACATCAAACATGCTGCCTTTTGCCAGGGTGCATTTGTGCATGGTTATTTTGATTCTGGCGTCTTATTGGTCTTTGGCATTGATTTTGATACAGTTGATTGAACTGCTAGTGTTGCAGTTGTCAGTGTTGTCTGGAAGGAAAATAATCGTAGCATCTTTGGAATGGTGTATAACATTTCCTCCTC